ATGTGTAAAGGGTGGAATGTAAATATATACGCCGACTGTACACATTTTAAAACTAAAACTCTACCAACAGAGCGAACGTTAACTCCTTGCTTTCAACCGTGGTGTTTTATGCTGACATCCATCAATCAACAGCACAATAAAGAAATTGTGTCATTCAGGCTTTAAAAATAAACTGTATAGAGCTTTGGGACGTTGCTGGTTTATCTTAACCCTTTCATCGTATTGTTACGTCAGTTATAAAATGATGACATCCTTTCAACAGTTGTTTTGATAACAGTGTTGTAAAGGGGGTGAGTGTGGGTTAGTAGGTGAACCTGAATTGACACTGCGCTATGCTAAGCAGCCACCGACACTGCTCTGCCGGAATGAACCAGGGCGGACGGGGTGATGCCCACTGTTGTTATTGCCCACTAGAGCCTCAAATTCGCACTCTGGTTTAACTTTGCGTTATTCAGTATATACCCTTGTATTTAAGAAGTTGACGTATTTCTGAAACCGCATACAAATGACGATTTGCCACCGGTGGGGCAGGATACGTTTACCTTCCCGCGAACACCCGTTGGCATCCCTATTTGATAGTGATTCATAACCAGGCTCACGATACAGTCGGAATCGTGCAATCGACTCTCCATTAGGCAGAGATACCTTATGGATATGGAAAGGGTTTTGTGACTATTATCATACACTCCATGGCTGGCCCATCATCGAACATGTGTCTTCATACTATTAGTTATGGTGTCTTTAGTTACCGTGCACGGTGTCATATTAGGTTAGAAGTAAAATATTGGGCGAGATGTGAGCCGAGCCCAATATCTTTCAACTTACCTAATATGACACCGTATACGGCCACTAAAGACACTATAACGAATATAATATGCCGAAACGTTTACACTATTTGGTATCTTTATCGTACATGTCATGTCAAAATGGAAACTTGACTCACAACCGGTATAAATGACAGGACCAGTACATATGTTTCTGATACAACGCATTAATGTTAACACAAAAGTTTATAATGGAATATGTAAAGCTCTAAATGCGAACGTTTAAACAAACACTATAGCTAAAATGGATAGTACTGTCACAAATATGCCCACATGTTAGCAGAAATCTGGAGGCCACTGTAACTTGATAGCAGTCCGCTTCTTCCTAACAACGGGCTGCTATCTTTTCTATTGCTATGTGACGTCATTGGTGTCACATTTCTTGTTTGGGACGTCATCTTATATTATGTTCGATGACTTTGCTATTTGTAATTCAGTGACCTTCGTTGTGATTTTTTTCTCTTTATAGTATTTCTTAATTAAGTCACGAACGTGGTTTCTTAACAAAATGATGTCTTTGCACATCACAATTAATTATTTAAAACACAGAACAGTGTCGAATGACGAATTTCTGTACCGGAATTGTCATGTGAAATATGTGAGGTGGGTTTTGGAATATCCAAAATGTCTGTTACTGACGGTATGCGGTCTCATATTAGCTCAGTAACAACCATCATGGATTTGTCCTGACGGTATTCGGGCTCATGTGGGTCAGTAGTTCAGGTGTCTGATTGGTCGACCTCACTTTGAGGCATAATGAATTGAAATGCGTCATTATATATGGATATGTGTCATGATTGTATAGACAAGTGTATGCAACGCCATGACCGTGCCATGCGATACTATTGGTCATATGTGGTGTCACATACGATTATATATGTCACGACATGTCATAACTCCTGAATGGATATCATAACATGGTTTCACACATGAGTATATGCCATGACATGGCATCACTCATGAGTATATAACATGACATGGCATCACTCATGAATATATAACATGACATGGCATCACACATGAGTATATAACATTACATGGTATCACTCATGAGTATATGCCATGACATGGCATCACTCATGAGTATATAACATGACATGGCATCACTCATGAGTATATGCCATGACATGGCATCACTCATGAGTATATAACATCACATGGCATCACACATGATTATATGCCATGACATGGCATCACACATTAGTATATAACATTACATGGCATCACTCATGAGTATATGCCATGACATGGCATCTCTCATGAGTATATGCCATGACATGGCATCACTCATGAGTATATGCCATGACATGGCATCTCTCATGAGTATATAACATCACATGGCATCACTCATGAGTATATAACATTACATGGCATCACTCATGAGTATAAAACATGACATGGCATCACTCACGAGTATATAACATGACATGGCATCACTCATGAGTATATAACATCACATGGCATCACTCATGAGTATATAACATGACATGGCATCACACATGAGTATATAACATGACATGACATCACTCATGAGTATATGCCATGACATGGCATCACTCATGAGTATATAACATCATATGGCATCACTCATGAGTATATAACATGACATGGCATCTCTCATGATTATATAGCATGACATGACATCACTCATGAGTATATAACATGACATGGCATCTCTCATGAGTATATAACATGACATGGCATCACACATGAGTAAATAACATTACATGGCATCACTCATGAGTATATGCCATGACATGGCATCTCTCATGATTATATAGCATGACATGACATCACTCATGAGTATATGCCATGACATGGCATCTCTCATGAGTATATAACATGACATGGCATCACACATGAGTATATAACATGACATGGTATCACTCATGAGTATATGCCATGACATGGCATCTCTCATGATTATAAAGCATGACATGACATCACTCATGAGTATATGCCATGACATGGTATCTCTCATGAGTATATGCCATGGCATGGCATCTCTCATGATTATATAGCATGACATGACATCACTCATGAGTATATGCCATGACATGGCATCTCTCATGAGTATATAACATGACATGGCATCACACATTAGTATATAACATGACATGGCATCTCTCATGAGTATATGCCATGACATGGCATCACTCATGAGTATATGCCATGACATGGCATCTCTCATGAGTATATAACATCACATGGCATCACTCATGAGTATATAACATCACATGGCATCACTCATGAGTATAAAACATGACATGGCATCACTCACGAGTATATAACATGACATGGCATCACTCATGAGTATATAACATCACATGGCATCACTCATGAGTATATAACATGACATGGCATCACACATGAGTATATAACATGACATGACATCACTCATGAGTATATGCCATGACATGGCATCACTCATGAGTATATAACATCATATGGCATCACTCATGAGTATATAACATGACATGGCATCTCTCATGATTATATAGCATGACATGACATCACTCATGAGTATATAACATGACATGGCATCTCTCATGAGTATATAACATGACATGGCATCACACATGAGTAAATAACATTACATGGCATCACTCATGAGTATATGCCATGACATGGCATCTCTCATGATTATATAGCATGACATGACATCACTCATGAGTATATGCCATGACATGGCATCTCTCATGAGTATATAACATGACATGGCATCTCTCATGAATATATAACATGACATGGCATCACACATGAGTATATAACATGACATGGCATCACTCATGAGTATATGCCATGACATGGCATCTCTCATGATTATATAGCATGACATGACATCACTCATGAGTATATGCCATGACATGGTATCTCTCATGAGTATATGCCATGGCATGGCATCAATCATGATTATATAGCATGACATGACATCACTCATGAGTATATGCCATGACATGGCATCTCTCATGAGTATATAACATGACATGGCATCACACATGAGTATATAACATGACATGGCATCTCTCATGAGTATATGCCATGACATGGCATCTCTCATGAGTATATAACATGACATGGCATCTCTCATGATTATATAGCATGACATGACATCACTCATGAGTATATGCCATGACATGGCATCTCTCATGAGTATATAACATGACATGGCATCACACATGAGTATATAACATGACATGGCATCTCTCATGAGTATATGCCATGACATGGCATCTCTCATGAGTATATAACATGACATGGCATCTCTCATGAGTATATGCCATGACATGGCATCACACATGAGTATATAACATGACATGGCATCACTCATGAGTATATAACATGACATGGCATCACTCATGAGTATATAACATGACATGACATCACTCATGAGTACATAACATTACATGACATTACACATGAGTATATGCCATGACATGGCATCACTCATGAGTATATGCCATGACATGGCATCACAAATTAGTATAGGTCATGACATTTCCTCACACTCGAATATATGTTGTGGTGAGTGTGTTATGCCCTCATTTATATTATATATTTCATCTTAATTCCGATTGATGCTGTAGAATTAAGAACTATCGAATAAACCATATAATCTTCGAATGACTCAGGAAATAATATATATACAGTGGCACTTCGTTAAACTTCCCCTAAGTAGATTTATATGGACTGGAATATATGATGAAAGGGATAGTGCTGTAAAACAACATTCATTAATCCGAAACTTTGATTATCGGGACGATTTTACTTAAACGATACAGTCCGGATTAACGGGTGTCACTGTATATTCAATTTTCAGACGGGTGTTCATAACAAAATGGGGTATGTGCCCTCCCGTCCGTTGACACACTTCGCTGTGAAGGAATGTACTGTACGAGAGATGAATGACCATATCAGCGACTTCAAACCCTGAAAGGGTACAATTTGCATAAGCACAACTGTCGTATATTATACAGCCCAGGTGGAAGAAATAAGCTGATCTCTGTCTTACACATCTGTATTACTACACTGTCTGTGCTTCTCACAGTCTATGTAGGATATCTGCTGACACATGGCTTTTGGATATTAGGTATCTTTGAAATTGCTTATGAAATTTCATGTACTCGGCGAACTGTGAAAAGTGTACGGTTGAACATGACAATGTTGTAACTGCAGGCTCGCTCAGCTGATATTCTACACAGCTGACAATAGGATCTCTCACGTGGCTTCAGGTAGGCTGCTCCTGTAGCGTATTTCACTCATGCCACTGGTAGGATATAGTTGTCACACACACATAGGGTAAGTACATCTGTCCACAGCCGTCTGCATGGGCATCATGCAACGTGTGTATTTATTCATGTTGTTAATAGCAACTCGAAACATCATTGTTTTATTGATGTGTTTATGTTTGCATGTATGACTGTTTACTATTCAAATTATTCAGTCAGTCAGTCAGTCCGTCCGTCCGCCCGCCCGTCCGTCCGTCCGCCCGTCCGTCCGTCCGTCCGTCCGCCCGTCCGCCTGTCTGTCTGTCTGTCTGTCTAGGTACCAGACACAGCATCAGTCATCCACCAATTCACTTCATACAGTCAGACCGTCTGTCTGTTTCTCTATTATCATTAATTATATGTTGTACTTGAATCTTATTGAGCAAATCAGACATGCATGGTAGCAATCAGAGTTGAAACTACCCCTCGCATCATATTTCAGTTGTCAGCATTAAGCATGACACATGTATGCGTCAGTCCTCGGCTCGGGCGAGACATTGGTATGTCACTTGTTTGATTATTCCCATAAAACAGACATGTGCACCTTCAGGTGTTGTCTTTTATGATGTTTATAGCAACTTATCATTGTTAAAGTTGGGCCAATATGTTATAAAGAATAGAACTTGATAAGTAAGTTTTTGGATGTTGGCGTTAATTGTAATATGGCTGAAATAAATCAAGTATAAGGTGAGATGAAACAGGGGTTAACGTGTTCAAGATAGTTTTCACCTACGTAGCGACGTGTGTATGAGTGCCTGCTTGTACTTTTAAAGCAGACCAGTACTTGTATGTTCTTAATTCCGAGTGCCAGGCAGGGTAACAACAAGTACCATCCTTTGACGTCTTTTGGCATGACGCAACCAGGGAATCGAACCAGCGACCTTGCGATTTCCTGTCAGACAATTATCCACTAGACCACTGAACCACTCGACGGTCATAACAGTTTATACAACCGTTAATGTAATGTACATAATATCAGATGCAAAAGTCCAACTATCAAAACTTAAGTTTAAGGCCCGAGCCGATGAAGATGTTACCTTAAGGTACCTACAGTGTGGTCTAATATTGTCACTCAGCTTATAACCCGATATCAATTCGATTGTTCTAATAATTTCGAGGATTCCCTGTATATCGCACAGTACTAACCGGTGTTCTCTGACAAGACATGCTATTTTATTTAAACCAACTTTGCCTTGGCAAGTGTTTGTGATGGGTGCTACAGGCCAGGATACGCTCACCTTCTCGCAAACCCCTGTTATAATTACTATTTGATAGTGATTCATAAAGACATGCTCATGATATAATCGGATTCGTCAAATCGTCTCTGCTTCGAGTAGATATTCTTTATTACTATGAAAAGGGTTTTGTCGCTTTAATCTAAATGATATACAGTAAACTACGGATATAACGAACTCAAAGGGACCACAAACTTAAGTTCGTAATAACCGTAGTTCGTTATAAGCATATATATAGCATATATACAGCAAATGGCAGGGACCAAAAAACAGTTCGTTATATCCGCCAGTTCGTTATAAGCGTGTTCGTTATAAACGTAGTTTACTGTATTGAAATAAATCACAATGATCCAAATGCCTGTATATATGCAGGTTTATACATACATATGCCCATGTAAGATGATGCCTTTTCATTTAGAACGTACGGCTACCTAAAAGAAGTCTTTTGTTAACTGGAAAGTGTAAGGTGAAGCTTTTGTCATTCAGGCCATTAAGGGTTTACTCCCTATTGCATTACAGACTTTTCGACAAAGGACGAAGTTGGATAATAACCGACTAGTAATGACAAACTGTGAAGTTACGGATAACTTTCAGATATTGGTATGCAAACTAAGGCGATCAGATATGTGCTAATTGATGTTTTCTTTTTACACCTGCACGTTTTCGACTTTTAAAATGACCAAATACACAATGACGAATTATATTTGTGGACAGAATGATTATGCAAGTATGAGAAAATGTTTTACCAAAGATAAATGTCAGAAAACGAGAAACCTCTAGAATCAGCTTTTTCACATATTTAGCTTAACCTCCACATGTTATAAGTCCCAATATATTGCAGGTATTCAAGAACATTGAAGATTTATTTGATAAGGCGGTATGTCATATATGTATGGCTGTCATCTAACAATGCAATGTTAACTTCAAACCTACATTTCTAAAACCTTTTCGCAGTTTGTATCGAATGAGAATATAATGATCTTTATGTATGTACGTCAATAATAACAATAAAAACAATCCCCCAGAATGTTCTGTGTAGAAATATTCTGTAGCCATATACATAGAGACCACATTAAGCACATGCTTTTACAGGACAATGTTTGACAAGCAAAGTTATAACATTCCCATAACAAACTGTCCCTCATATGTCATGTGAAAATACCTAAACACATGTTGTTTCACAAGAACAGAATAAAATTCTATGCATCTGTGGTCAAACAGTTTTCAGTTGATAGAAATAATAATTATTCACTGATTTTGTTAACATGAACAAATGTTAACACAGGTTATGATCAATTCATGTTGCATTGGGGTAATTATATGCCAAAGTTTTGCCGTTTATCAGAGATTAGACACGTGAAGCCTCCTTCTTATTGCATGTAAGTCGTCAGGCCAATGTACAACGAGTTACATGACAGTAAGTTATATGTAACATCAATCGAAGCATAAAAATTATTTTTTTTAATTACATATAATTGAATATGAAATCAAATGCTCATAAGTTAACATACCATTTGTATCATGGAGCAATCAACATATGGTAAATTTATTCATCTGAAACACAATTAAGAACGCCGAAATATTTTTTTCCATATAAAAGCAGCATTATTACAAATCCTATCCTGTATTTATTTCTGACGAAACACATTTCTTTCTCTTTACAAGGTGACATATTCATATTAAAATAGAGAAATTAAAATCGACTATGCCATAATATATTTTCTATTCCTTGGCAATAGCTATTAACTACCCTTTCATATGATATGACACGACCTGTCCTTGTGGCAATCTGGAGTAACAGACAGTCTGAGGTGGTGGGATACAATGTGGTTTACGTCGCTTTCAAGATTATTGCACTTATGTAGCTCGGCATGCACGTGTGTGTGTGGCCGCTTGTACTAGTCCGGACTAATGCCGATTTTGTAGTGCTAGCCCACTGAGATACCATGCCGCAGTCGAACATAGACACCTCACTCAGATACAGTATGCAGACACACTGTTCCAAACCGGTCCTTGTCTTAGGCAAGACAATTCCAAATACCATCCTTTAGCGTCTTTTGGTGTGACGCGGCCAGGGATCGAAATACCGAGCTCCCGGTTTCCGGGCATACGCTCTATCACTAGACCACGGAGGCGGTCTCAGTGCTCTGATGTCTCTTCAAAAGGTATCGGGTGTATCATAGACATGTATCAACATGAAGCAAATCTCATGTAGAGATCTCGAAAAGATACATGAACGTTTGGAACAGTTGACAACAGAAGTGGTGCTTAACACTTTCCGTTTTCATATGTATTGTGTATGAACTGCCTTATGGCGCTTTAAAACACCCCTAAAAATGTAATCCATCCTCAACATTGCTCAAATATAGTAAGCGATAATGTTAAAATTTTACGGCTAGAAAATGGCTGAATGAGTGAGTGTTAACGCCACAGTAATATTCCAGCTATATAACGGCGGCCTGTACATTATTCAGTATGGAACAGAGAAAGTGGTTGAAAACAAGCAAGTAACAGAGAACCTAACCATCCTAGCCGCTTTACTGAGCTCTTACGACGAACAATGTATACTGGGCACGTATTATTAAGCGAAATCCCTTCAGGGAGACAAGCATGGGGTACTTGGCAGCTATTCTTCCCCTAAAGCCCAACAGGAAGACAAGCATGGATTACGAGGGACCTTGTGTTCCCTGAAATCCCTACAGGGAGACAAGCAGCGAATACTTGGCAGATATTGTTCCCCTAAATCCCAACAGGGAGACAAGCATGGAATACTTGGCAGCTATTGTTCCCCTAAATCCCAACAGGGAGACAAGCATGGAATACAAGGGACCTTGTGGTCACGAAATCCCCACAGGGAGACAAGCAGGGAATACTTGGCAGATATTGTTCCCCGAAATGTATGGTGTACTTTGGACCTATTCCTTCCCGGAATCCCTATAGGAGACAAGTATGGTATACTGGGGACCTATTCCTCCCCGGAATCCTTTTAGGAGACAAGTATGGTATATTTGGGGCCAATTCCTTCCCGGAATCCCTATAGGAGACAAGTATGGTATACTGGGGACCTATTCCTCCCCGGAATCCTTTTAGGAGACAAGTATGGTATATTTGGGGCCAATTCCTTCCCGGAATCCCTATAGGAGACAAGTATGGTATACTGGGGACCTATTCCTCCCCGGAATCCTTTTAGGAGACAAGTATGGTATATTTGGGGCCAATTCCTTCCCGGAATCCCTATAGGAGACAAGTATGGTATACTGGGGACCTATTCCTCCCCGGAATCCTTTTAGGAGACAAGTATGGTATATTTGGGGCCAATTCCTTCCCGGAATCCCTATAGGAGACAAGTATGGTATACTTGGGGTCTATTCCTCCCCGGAATCCCTATAGGAGACAAGTATGGTACACTGGGGACCTATTCCTCCCCGGAATCCCTATAGGAGACAAGTATGGTATATTTGGGGCCAATTCATTCCCGGAATCCCTATAGGAGACAAGTATGGTATACTAGGGACCTATTCCTCCCCGGAATCCCTATAGGAGACAAGTATGGTACACTGGGGACATATTCCTCCCCGGAATCCCTATAGGAGACAAGTATGGTATAGTTGGGGCCTATTCCTCACTTAAATCCCTATAGAGAGTCAAGCAGGATATACCAACGAACTATTCTTCCACGGAAATCTGGAGCAGTGCGACTTCACGATGCAGATACTGAACCTTTTACAT